CTTATTAGATTTGTACGTGATTTACCTTGTTTACGAATATTGACTGTGTCGAATGCTGTTGTCAAGTTATTTTTCAGTCATCAATGGTCAAACATTATTGATCTTCAATTGTCATCGAGTACCTATGATTCTGACGAACCTTTGTCTCTATGCGAAATTGATGCCTTTTGTTGTTCGTTTACTCATCTTGAAAAGCTCTCTATTTCAGTTGATACATTCTGTGATCTATCTCGATTTTTCAGCAAGTTAATACCGACACTATCAAATATTTCGATTGCACAAAAAGTGAATGAAACTATTGTAAACAATGATCAAATAATACAAAGAGATTGGATTGAAAAGAACACACAGTTACGTAATTTTTATTACTTATGTGACAAAAATAATACTGTACATTTCTGGTTGTAATATAAATATTCATCATGTTCGAAGAAAGCATTTGCGTTAAAGAAGTAATTAAATCTTTCAAGAATTTTCGTTTTGACATTAATCGTATGACCTATTAATTCGAGTAATAAACCTACTGTTATATAAAAAAAAAAAGTTACATTTATTTTGATGTTGTTAATTTCTTTTGTAGATTTTCATCAAAAAGAAAACGTGCGAGTTTCTTTTTTTTTTAAAATAAATAAACAGCGCAAGTTTAAATAAATTCTCATCATTATTACGTCTTCATGGAAAGTTACGATAGAAAATTCTATGCAAATAAAGATTTGTTACTACTCTCATCTAAATTTTAGACTGTCAGTGAAGAGAACATCTTGCGTAAGACTCGAATTGCTGTCGTACAAGGTAACAAAATCTTTGGTGCCGCTACACTCAGGAAGTGTGATCTATTGATTATTATGGCTGAAACTAATAATGAAGTAGACAGTCCACTTTGGCACGATGAGATGTATGCAATATAAAAAAAGCTCTACGAAATAAATGATCGGTCTAATTTATCCAATCCAAAAGATTGCATCTTTCTCGCTACACATAAGCCTTGTTGTTTTCGTCTTTCAGCCATAACTTGAGGTAATTTCTATTATGTCTTCAGTTACGGAGATAGTCGCGATCGCTTCAATATTCGGTATGACATCAACATTTTCATGGAAGCCTTTGAAAACACTAATGGTAACCGTTCACTTTATGAATTCATAAAAATTCATTTTGACATAGTTTTACAATATTGCAGAGATGACCAACAAGACTTCAATAATATTAATTATGATCGTGAATTACTACTTCGTTGTGTGAATAACTTCATCACGCTCTCCACTGAACTATCATACATATATTAAACCAATAAAGGCAAAGCAGACATTTCTGTGACTTGATAGTTTTCTCATAGCACAATGGTTCTGATACAATCTTTATTTTCATACTACATAGCAGTCATGAAGATACGAATTAATTGCATTTCTTCGTAATATAACTTGTTATTTGTCAGTAGACAGAAAACAAAGGTTAAATAAGGTAAATATACAATGCTTTTCGATCAAAAAATTTTTTCAATTAATATATCATACGGTCTTCTAGCTTCCCTATAAGTATTTATTTATTTTCTTCAGTGTTTCTGACTCCATCGTCGGAATATGGCTCTAAAAAAATCTCGGAAAATCATCATTGAACTGATGTAGACGTTCAATTGAGATCTTTAATCTTTTCAATAGAGGAACGAATATCAATAGTTTTTAACACAAACAATTCTTTCTATTACTGACAAAATATTTGGGAAAAGTTCCAACTTTGACTAAAAATCAGTAGTATTTCGAATATTTGTTGTATCAAATCTAATACAATGGATAAATGAATATTTATATATAAATTATTACCATAACACGTGTCAATAGTTTTTGACGATTTGTTTATTCGATGCCTCATAAATTCTTGCTTATTTCGAAAAAAAAAACTGCTTCAGTATTATAAGTGATAATTCAAGGATAAGGATTTTTGAATGAGTTGGAAAGAGATTACTAATTTTAGCATAAAGTTTTGAAATTGATTTTGTTTAGAGTATGAACAAGAATGCATGATAACGAATGTGAGAATTCATTCTACAAAATAATGAATCTTTCTAGATTCAATTAGGATATTTGTTAATAGTATAACAAACATAGCCCAGATTGTGTCATAGTCTTATTTTTCTGTGTAGCATATGACACTTCCATATAAATAGATTAGCTGCTAACTAAAACTATAAGTATAACTAATTATCAAAAGATAGAATGAAATTCTTATAGTTTCTAAATAAGATTTGTAATTAGAAGTTTATCAATGGCAAGTAGAATCTACTTACATGTAGAGTTTCCTAAAATGATTTTTCCATTTATAAACTTTTCTTTAGTTGAATTTCTTAGAGTTCTAGACAAGTGGCATTTAGAAAGTAGTATTTGACACATTACGCAACAAATAAACAATCATGCTAATGTTATGTTCTTATTCGTAACTAATAAGATAGAAAAGAAAATTGATAGAGGACAAACAATATCATACAAATCAATATTTACAACTACATGGTAGTGTCTAAATGATTGACACGCTAATTCGTTGCTCAATTAGTCGGAAGAAAGTCAGATTTTCATCATTATTACCGCACAGTCACTAAAGTAGGCATTTCACATAATGAAGTAAGAACAAATTTCATCATCACCTTTCTCTTACGCAAACTTTTTTTCTTCACCCACAGGTTATGTCGCAACTAGACAAAAAAGGTTGCAAAATAGTATAAATAAAATGTTTCTTATTACAACTTTACCAAGAGTGTTTTTTCACATCGAAACAAATACCATTTCTACTTATACAATTTTTTAATGGCAGAAGTATCAGAAACATCATTAAGTAATACAATACAATTAAGTATCTCGGCCAATGTGGCAGAAACTGTGTCTACCATTGCTGAAACAGCCTACTCCACAGTGGCCTCCACAAATGATGATAGCGAAGCACCTCCGCTGAAAAAACTTAAAACGATTACTAACGATCAACTACGTCCACTTGAAGATCGCATTACATCAAGTTTGTCATGCTGTATCTGTTTGAATCTTTCAATATTGCCTATGTACCAATGTGTTAATGGTCATTTAATGTGTTCTTCGTGTTTCTATCATCTCTTAACCGATTGTAATCTTAAAGATGAACAAACCGTTTGTCCAAATTGTAGATGTGAAATTCCAAAAACGGATTACATACGGAATCTAGCAGTGGAAAAAATCATATTAGAGTTACCAATTGCGTGCATTTATTGTTCATGTACATTTCTTCGTCGTGAAATCAAATATCATCAATCACAAACGTGTCAAAAACGACCAACTGTGTGTGAATATTCATTGCTTGGCTGTGATTGGACAGGTTCTTTCCATAGTCTAAGATCTCATGTGACCGTTTGTGAATACCCACACAAGACCGATCGACAATTATTAGATACGATTCGAGTACAAAAGCAAGCATGTGACACCGAAAAGAAATGTCTTGAAACTGCTCTCGACCTACTTTCGCTTAAGCAAGTTAGTGCCCATGATCTCGTTCTGGAACCATGTCGTACGGATGATTTTACTGCTAAGCTCTACTTTGAAACGCCAGTTTTTACAGCTCTGGAATATCAATGGAAAGTACGCGCATGTATCAACGACAATACACCACATCCACACACTGCCGTTATACGCTCGTTAAGCTATCAGCTTGTACTTGAATCAAGCGTTAGTAAAGCTATCAGTTTGAATTTTTTTATTGTCAAAGGTCCTTACAGTGATTTGTTTACTTCACAAATTCAACCTATCATAAGTCATTTTGAATTCAATGAAAACGATATCGAAACCGAATATATAAAACTGCCGCTTAGTTCACAAGACTGCAATCGAATTTTATCATCGTCGTTTATTAGTTTTCGACTCTGGATAGTAAAAGATATACCAAAAAGCACGATACAAAACAAACTTCGAATATCTGCACATTTTTCTGATGATAGAGAATAGTTTCATATTGTAGTTGGTTAATAAAACGTTTTTTAATACTATTGAACAGTACTCTGATTTTTTTTTCATGCAAAACTGTGACTCTTTTATCGAGAGATGGCAGGTTCTCTCTGAACTTTCTCAAAACTCCATAAGATAAAATCTTCAGAAACATATTGTGAAACTCCATAAAAACTAGAGCTGTCGGTGAGGATCTGAAAGTTGCTATAACATTCCACAAAACTATGAAAAATTGATGTAATCTCCAAAATCTGTACTAGTATCATCAAATCTGTAATGAATTGAATAAGCGAAAAACGAGCTAGCAGTTGACAAATTCTTTAAGGTTCGTTCTGCCATATCACATGAGATTCTGTATGATGTTTAGTATTGTGAAATATTTGAAAAAAAATTGATGGACACATTGAATGAATGTTGAATAACAAAAATTTCAAAACACACCAGTTCTGCCTTGATAGGATGGCAAACTGTTGTTCATTTCAGTCTACAACTGACGCACAATTCCTCGCAAGATCATTCAAAGTCTGAAAACAGTAATAATCGATGGTGTGAACATGGATAAGAAGAAGAGAGATTCATATTTACAGTGGTTGTATGGAATTTCGGTAACGAAATGTCGCCAACGCCGAAATTCTACTGACAAATTGACAATATACATATCAGCTGAAGTTGTAATGTATGGCAGGAATGCAATTTTCTTAGTTTTCATGTTAACACGAAGGAAATACTTATTTAGTAAGAACAAGATGTTAGATAATAAATTAATTATAAGTTTATTATCTTTAACTAACACCAGTAACAAATAGAGAAAGGAAGAGTGATGATTTAGTGCATGTTTTAAGAAAGAAAAGTGAAGATATTAGACCCTGATGTAATGTGATGACAATCTTGTCCATGTTTCAGTTATGAAAGAAAATCGAAAGTATTGAAGGATCATGTAATGTAGGTCGAAATGCAAGAAAAAAAAAGAAAATGTGTGCAACAATGGCGTAGTCAGGAATTTATAAGGCATGGACCATTTCCCAGCTAAATTATTTTGAAGGATGGGCAGCAATGGACTATTAGAAAATCACTTGGACTACAGTTTTTCCAAAGCTCAAAAAAGTTTTCGTCTCAAATGTCCTCTTGTTCTTCGAAAAACCGTCTGTCTTTATTAGCCAAATTTCCCAAAAAGTCAACAGTGAAGAGCAAGAAAAACAAAAAAAAGTTTTTACCTTGGCTCTCTGAAGGACTTCCGATGGCGTCAGCTCTGGATAAATCGTCTATTGATGTTTTCAGATATGCATATGGATCGACATTTTCGAGCATTGGACAATTGGTATGATCTCAAAAAAAACGTTGAGCAATTGCCCAATGGTCCTACCCTGACTACACCATTCGTGCGCATCTATCAAAGACATAATTTTATAACAGTAGTTCAAGAATTTAATATTGTATTAATTGGGATTTAACTCATTACCTTCGATTTCATCTCATGTGAATATGGTTGAAATTTTGATGGAAAATGGACAATAAAATATGCATAGATAATTATGATTGTCATAATTTCGTGATAATTTCGACAATAATGGAAATTCGACATTGACGAAATTTCCTCTTATCTAATATTTGGATACTTGAACATGATTAAGATAAACGAGGAAGATTAATGGAAAAAAATCATCGTAGAATATTCCATCAAACATACATGTGCTGTTCTCCTTGTGTCTCTACACCAGGTGGTTAAATACATTTCAGTAAGCATTGATATGTTTTCACAAGAACACATTAGAGATGGTGGTAGAAAAATGACTCATCAATCACTCTTATCGAAACGTCTGACGTAAGGCTTACAATTTCCATTATTCATTCTAAAAAGACGCCTTCTAGTAGCATGAAAAATCCATAAAAAGTATTTTATCTCTTCCTATTTAATGTTGGACAAGTACAATAACAACAACATCGCGTCATAAACGTTAATGCGTTTTGTTTTTCTTTTTTTCTCTCGCTTATACTCATCTGTCTAGTAGCTGTACTATTTATTGATCATACATCCTTCGATTTTTCTCCTGTTTACCTCTGTTAGTCATTTAATAAATGTCATTGCACAAAAACTTTCACTTTAAATGTAAGATTGATCATGTATAAGTATAATCTATCATTTTTAGATTGATTCTTACTGTCTATATAACAATGTTCGATATTGAAGAGCAAAAAGAGAATCTTCTGGAATCAGATGCAACGACATCGATCAAAAGATCTCATCCAATATGGATACAATTGCGTCGATATACACGACAATTTGTTGTTTTTATTGGATTCTATCTTATTCAAGTAGTGATACTATTGTAACTTATTCGAAACTATTCCGATTATTTGTTGATAGATTTATAAATTTTTACGTGATGCTTCTCGTGATATATTACATTCACGTTCAAGATCAGTTTCAGTAGTACCACAAAGAGAATATACTCAACTTTCAACCTATGCCAACAATGGTATTTTATTTTCGAATAAATTTGATAGTTCTATTCAAAACTTTTTTTTTTTTATTTCTAGAAACGGATACCGAAATCGAAACACAAGCTCAAGATTCTGTTGAACCACCATTGACAGACAGAAATGAAAATTTACAAGAATCGATAGATACACAATACATACCAGGTATAGGTCAAAATGTTTACTCGAATCATAATACATTTCTTCTGATTTTTTTTTTCAATATAAAGATGTGAACATTGATTCACTCGTCGAAATCCCGATTGCCAATGGCAATACCTCAATAGCACTGGTCTCCATAACTACTGGTAATTTATCTTTATTAGATAATTTCTTCTTCGAGAATAAATTACAATTGAATATATATATTTTTTTAGTATCTTCTCCTTCATCAGCCTTCAATTCTCCTACTGCATCACATCCGTTTATCACAAGAAATCCTATGCAAATCGCTCTATCTTATAATAGCGAAACAAATGATCGAATCAAAGAGATTAGTCAATTGATTCATGATAGTCTTACTACTCCAGATTGTCCACATCCAGTTTTTTATGCTCCAAATTTTGAAGATGAATTAGCCGTACGTAATGGAGATAAAGTTTTAGAAAGAATTTATAGACGAGCTGCTCTTGTTGTCGTCTTTCTTTCAACGAACTATCATAATTCTCAGTTTTGTTATGATGAATGGCGAACAATTAAATCTCGATTTTTTGTTGGTTGTAACGATGCAGAAGATGAACGATTACTTCTTGTTAAATTGAGTGATTTTAATGCCGATGAATTAAGTATTCATCCAACTGATTTCTATATCGATGGAACAGATAAGACCGATCAAAGATTGGCTGAATTAATCGTTCGACGATGGCACAAAGTCGCACAGTTATCCAAGTGAATAAACAACCGAAAATTTATGAACAATTCTAATAAACAAAAAAATTTTCGAATAATTTTTTTTGTTTGAAGAGAAAGCTGTGAGATTTTTTATTGTACCAAAGTTTCTTACGTGGACAATTTGCATAGTAAACACTTCGAAGATCGTTGTTCCGCTACAAAATATTCGTAAATGGACCATATGATACATACAGAACTATAATTGATAGAACAAATGTGAATTTGATGTTTGTGTTTTTTGTTTCTGAGATAATATTCCTTATTATAAATTAAAAACATTATTCACATTGTAACAAAATGTATGCTTGGTATTTGTCAAATCGTGATAGTAGCAGCTATATCTCACCCTCACCTTCAAGATAGTTTGAGCTATTCTATCTCATTTAGTTAATAGACTTATTTTTATTTAAATTGAATTCATAGGTCAAACAGAGTTTATCTGAAATTGAAGCAAACGTCTCGAGTCGTCGCTAACTTTGGAGAAAATCTTGACTACATATTTTTATCCAAACATTGAACAAATTCAAGCTACGATTTTCCAGAATATTACACTTTTTTAAAAAGACTCTTTGCATCCTCATCAAATATTTGTTTTGTTCTAATTCGATGGAATTCCAATATTTGATCCGATAAAGTGAAGAACAATATGTCTTTGTATTTCGTAATTAAATAATTTAGCACATAGTTTATGTGTGTTTGTCTCAATTACGATAGACTTTGGCTACTTCTTGCGCAATACAATTATGTTCGAATAATGGATTTGTTCTGCAAGCTTGTAGATTATTGACGCCGAATGAACACATAAGATCTTCAATCAAATAATGACATGGTAAAGTGATCTGGACTGTTGATCGTTCGTGGTTGTATACACACAAAACACTATTCACCTACCATGACTGATTTGTGACAAACAGATTACTTTTGCCTGAAAAGTCACGGGAGCGACATACTGCTGCAGTTGCATTTCCGTCGAATCCATCATTTATTCGTCCACTGAACATTGATAATGGAGAATAATATGCAATAAGAAGTTGACAATATGAATATGTCGCTGATGCTCAATCATTATCTTATATAGGTTTATGTTATCGATCACTTCCTTCGTCTGTTTATCTCAAGTATGTCTTCTCATTTATGTTTCCAGAAGTCATAAATAACTGAAGTTTATAAAGATAAATGTGTGATGGTTGCTTCATGATATTTAACTCGGAATAGCAATTTCAAGTCTAGACATCTATTACGAAGAAAATTCTTCAGATAAAAAAATGAGTTAGTTTATCAGCGTTAGAGAAGCTCCATTTAGCTTAGAAAAAGACAAAAATGATCAACATGTTTCTTCTTTGAGTAAAAACTGGTGTCTGTTTTAGTGACTTTTTGACTTCGAGTGAGGTGTTTATAGAGGGAAAAGTTCAATAAACGATTGTCGGTCGAATTCTACGTTTACAAATTAATAGAGTGATCACTAGAATGTTCTGAAAGTTTCCGTCAATAAGAAAATTCTTTCAGAAGTTGCGATTCTGAAGAAAGCTAACTTTTTCGACACGACGAACGTTTTACAAACTCAATAATTCGAGGAGTTTCGGTATTGAACGGAGACATTCTGAACACCACGATACTTGGGGTGTGAGTGTGGATATGGGTACGAGAGTTCCTATGTCCTCACTTCACTTCCACACATCCACACCCCACACCCTCAAAACTATGTTGGCAATGGCAATATCCATTCGACCATCATTGTTAAAATCACCAATGACAAACGGCTTCGGTCGCGAACTCTTACCAGTTGTGATTGGGATTTGATATACACAGCCTATGTTGATGCATCCAAGAAGAACTACAACTTCATCAACAAGCATATTGGAGACAACAATATCCAACAACTAATCATTGTTGAAATCAACAACAGCTAGAGACTCTTGATCACGGCCAACTGAATACTTGATTTGATTTGCAAAAGAGGCATTACCATATCCAAGATGGATGCATACGTTATCGCTACTCCATTGGGCGACAACAATATCTAGTCGGTTGTTCTTGTGAAAATCACTCACAACTACAGAGTATTGAGAAGAGCCAGTGGAATACGTTATTCCATTTACAAAATAGGGTGTTGAGTGTGAGTGTGTGTGTGTGTAGATGTAAGCTTATCTCTGGTATCTAGCCGCACCAACAACCTCACACCTATATTCGCATCCACTTACCCACAGACCACATAGCCACATCTATACCTCACACCGATACTTACATCACACAGCTACATTCTAATCTCTTATGAATATAATATAATATGATTAATTTAAAAAATTACAAATAGAAATTATGATCGTTCGTTGTATAATGCATATGTCTAAGAATATGGTTAAAAATTATTATCTTCTATTGCTCCTGCATGATCGGGTGGTGGGCCATCGATCTTAATATTCATCTTTTCATTGAATCGTGCGCCTTCAACGGACATAGAAATATCCAGTTGAAGAGCTTGAGTGCGTTCTATTTCCTTGACTGCAATGCCTAAGTTGTCTTGCGCAATCCAGACTATCGGTTTGGGATCTCGCATTGCTGGATGCAGGTATGCTTGCTCCATTCTATTGTCATGCGACTCCACCACAGAGTTATCTATATTAATGACAACGTCAGCATTACTAGTCGTTTGAGCAGGACTGAGCTGTGAAAATTCCTCTGCATCAACAGGTAAATAGTATGTAAGAGAATCGAAGCTTGACCTGATAGCAGATTGAACGCTGATTGTGAAAGCGATCAACACACACATTAATGCACCTTCGGCAATAGCCGACTGGGAACCAGATTCATTCTGTGCTAAGAAGAAAAGGCCTGCAAGCATAATTTCCATGAGATAAATGCCCGTAAACGACTGATAGATTGCCCTTGGAAACGTAAGACCTCCAGTATCGTTTGGAAAATCTGACACGTAGAACATCGTATAAATGTAGGCAATGTAAAAGAAGCCGAATGCTAACCCAGAAATAAGGAGCATCAAAGGTGCAATGATCGAGTAAACTAGAGTAATCACGACAAAATTTGTGAAAATAGGAAATATTGTACCCCAGCTGAGACTGCTGAGTGTGAAATAGCGTGTATATTTCTTTCGTGGTGTATTATCGAATAATTTTCCCAGCAGATAAAATACAATAAGTGTTCCAATCTGCAGCAACAGACCAGAAGCGATGCTCAATCCTTGTAATGATAGGAAGCTGAAGAAGAAATTGCTGGCAGTTGGAATATTGGCAGCAAGTATTGTTGCAGCACTAGATGGATCTTGAAGGATAACTGTTGCAACGCTCGAAACACTACTCGAAATAGTAACTACTAGAAAGACGTGCACGACTTGGAAGACAAAGTAAGATCCTTGTACATAACGATCGATGGCATCTGTAGTAGGAAGTCCAGATATTGTTGCAAATAGTCGCAGTACAACAGGAAGTAATGCCATTAAAACAGCCAAAAGAACAGTTGGTAGAAGACCCGTAATCAAGCCTAGCAGAGCGCTTGGTAAGTCATTAATGAATCGAAGAAAGGTCAGCTTGTTCGTGAGGTACGTTAGATTTGAGAGGATGCCAACAAACGCAACGGGAATCGCCCAAAAAACAATCAAAGCCGTAGTTGCAGCCAACATGGCGAGCTGTCTGACTTTCTGCTCGTAATAGGTCATCTTTAAATTTGACCAAACGATATTTGTCGGTTTTATCTCATTGTAACGAGGTGTCATTGCTAGAGGAACAGAAGCCGCAACACTTTGAACTGCCATGTGAGCTGCTATCTGTTTATTGAATTGAATAAATGCAGAGTTTATGGCTGCATAATTTTGTGGAGTTGTTTTCGCTCTTTCGATTTCAGTATTTAATTGTGAAATCTTTTCTTTGCAATATGTGATTGTGTCGACTTTTTTGCCAAAGCACAAGGAAGATAGAACTGGAATAGATCCAATCTTCATTGTGGGTCGTATCTTTTCCGGAACATAATTGTCGATAGTAGTTTCTTCAGTTATTCCAGAACGCGTTTTTGAACCTTCCTTTTTTCGGCGTTTTGCTTCGTTTTTTAATGCAGTTTTGATCAAGTTACATTCAGCTGTCTCGAGTTTTTCAACCATTTTCGTGCGCTCGTCCGCCTTATCAGGAAGATCTTGTAGATTTCGATTTAGCCATAAATGCCTCACTCCGCCTGGATATTGATTGAAAATTCGAAAGAGAACATCCTGTGACATATAGGCTTTGGGTATGCCAGTAACGAGAATGGTTGTTGCACTGGCACAGGATCGATATGCAGGACTTCTAAGAAGTGCTTGGCGTTTTTCTACGAAAGCTTTCATTTCTGCGTATAGAAGGTAAAGAAATACACCAATGAAAATGTAAGCCAGTATCAATGGAGCTACATAACGAGAGGAATGATGCGGAGAAATATTCCCAAAAGTTAGTATATCGAGACCTGTTTTATTATAAGAATCACCTTTTCCATCAACGACATATATAGGAAATAAAACGATTGCTAAAAGGGCAAACGAACTCAAAAAGAAGAAGGCATGAATGTAGAGATAGCGTGCGAAGAAGTAAGCGTCAAGACCAGAGGTACGAATCAGATCCTCCTGTGGCATTCTTAATAAGGTGGGTAGCCAACCGAATAATGTCTTTGGCAGAGGCTGGACTCGTCGCTTTTCATCTCCAAGATATGTTTTCGGTTCATAGATGCGTGTGAACATTGTTCTGATAATGATGAATATCAGAATTTCGACAGCAGCGATAATTCCAGCGACCGCAAGTGTAGTAAGAAATTGGGAGAGCGAAGCTCCTTGTGAGCTATGAGCGGGACTCGTTGTAGTGTTTGCCATTTGTCAGTGAATAGTAGTGAATAGAGTCTAGTAGAAGAAATAGGAACTGAAACACATAAGTAAGTGTCGTCTCGTTCTATTCAATTACAGGAGCTAGGTTACCAATGTGTGTGTGTGTGCAAACGGTTTAGTTTTTATTCAGTTGTAATATTCTTACT